AAGGTGTGTGGCTCGCCTGCTGTGACCTCTGACCTCTGACCCAAGGAAGGTGTGTGGCTCGCCTGCTGTGACCTCTGACCTCTGACCCAGGGAAGCAGGACAGGGCTTTTTTTTTTTTGAGACGGAGTTTCACTCTTGTTGCCCCGGCTGGAGTGCAATGGCACGATCTCGGCTCACCGCAACCTCCGTCTCCCTACTTCAAGCAATTCTCCCGCCTCAGCCTCCAGAGTAGCTGGGATTACAGGCATGTGCCACCAGGCCCGGCTGATTTTGCATTTTTAGTAGAGATGGGGCTTCTCCATGTTGGTCAGGCCGGTCTCAAACTCCCAACCTCAGGTGATTTGCCTGCCTTGGCCTCCCAAAGCGCGGGGATTACAGGCGTGAGCCACCGCGCCCGGCCTAGTAGGGCTCTTCTTATCCTGCTCACCAGAGGTAGGAAGTGGGGGCGTGACCTCAGGAAGGGCCCAGAGCCCTTGATGGGCGTGGGGATTGGGATGAGGACAGGGCTGTCATGAGAACAGTGGCTGCAGATGTGACCAGCTGGTAGGAAGTGGCCACTTGAGTCACAGATGCTTCCTGGGCTGGCCAGGGACTGGGGGTGCTGGCTGCAGCTGGGACCCCTTTTGTATCTTACTAGCCTGGCACCTGGGTGCCCGGGAGGCGCCACGGCTGGACACAGCGAGCTGGGGCATCCCGGCCTCCATAACCCACACTCCAGTCCTCCCACGGGCTGGGTGGTGAGCGGCCCTGGTGAGTCTGCGGGGGCAGGGGCAGCCTTCCCGGTTTATCTCCCCTGGCATGATCTGCTCATCCGCCCAGGCTCCAGAAGCTACGGCTCAGGGTCCGGCAAAGCAGGAAGCCTGAGGCCACAGCCCAAAGCAGCCTGAGTGCAGTCATGTGGGGGCGACTGCTCCTGTGGCCCCTGGTGCTGGGGTTCATCCTGTCTGGCGGCACCCAGACCCCCAGCGTCTATGACGAGGGTGGGAGCACTGGAGGCGGCGATGGTGAGTGGTTCTGGCCTTGGGGTGCAGAGATGGGCTTACACAAGTGATGGAGTTGGGGGCCCGGAGCTGGGGAGGGGGGAGGCTGGGAAGTTGGGGCTTCAGCCCAGCCCACTCTGCATCCCGTCCCTGACCCCACAGGGCCGGGCTATTCCCTTGAGTGTCATGTCTAGCTGTTTCCCACCAGGGCAGATCCCAGGCTCTGAGCACCTCCCTCCCTGCTGCTTCTTGTCACCCGCCGAGGCGGGGGCTGACCAACGTCCCCTCTCTCCCACAGACAGCACGCCCTCAATCCTGCCGGACCCCCGCGGCTACCCAGGCCAAGTCTGTGCTAATGACAGTGACATCCTAGAGCTCCCGGACAGCTCACGGGCGCTGCTTCTGGGCTGGGTGTCTACCAGGCTGGTGCCCGCCCTCTATGGGCTGGTCCTGGCGGTGGGGCTGCCGGCCAACGGGCTGGCCCTGTGGGTACTGGCCACG